CCAGGTGCGCCCAGGTGCGGCGCTCACCTGTTGAAGTTGAGCAGGGACTGCCAGCGCTGGGATTTGAAGTTCTTGATGTTCTGCGCCTCGTCCAGGATCAGGTACTTCCAGTTCTTCCTGCGGAACGCTTGGTGGTCCTGCAGCACCAGCTTGTAGGAGGTGATGCACACGTGGAACGCGTTGGGCTTGGTCCAGCCCTGACAGGTGGGACAGGTGAGACAGGTGAGATACAGGTGAGGCAGGTGAGGAAAAAATCCCCATCAAAAACGGCCCAAAAATCCCCAAAAAATCGGAATTAAAACAGCCCAGGTGTGCCCAGGTGTGCAGCACCAGCTTGTAGGAGGTGATGCACACGTGGAACGCGTTGGGCTTGGTCCAGCCCTGACAGGTGGGACAGGTGAGACAGGTGAGACAGGTGGGACAGGTGAGGCAAAAATCCCCATCGAAAACGGCCCAAAAATCCCCAAAAAATTGAAACTAAAACAGCCCAGGTGTGCCCAGGTGTGCCCAGGTGTGCAGCACCAGCCTGGACCAGGTGATGCACACGTGGAACGCGTTGGGCTTGGTCCAGCACTGACAGGTGAGACAGGTGAGACAGGTGGGACAGGTGAGGCAAAAATCCCCATCGAAAACGGCCCAAAAATCCCCCAAAAAACCCCAAAAATCGGAACTAAAACAGCCCAGGTGTGCCCAGGTGTGCCCAACTTGTAGGAGGTGATGCACACCTGGGCTTTGTCCAGCCGTGACAGGTGAGACACAGGTGAGGCACAGGTGAGGCAGGTGAGGCAAAAATCTCCATTGAAATTGGCCCAAAAATCCCAAAAAAATCTGAATTAAATCAGCCCAGGTGTGCCCAGGTGATGCACACCTGGAAAGTGTTGGGCTTGGTCCAGCCCTGACAGGTGAGATACAGGTGAGAGACAGGTGAGAGACAGGTGAGAGACAGGTGAGAGACAGGTGAGAGACAGGTGAGACAGGTGAGAGACAGGTGAGAGACAGGTGAGAGACAGGTNCAGGTGAGAGACAGGTGAGAGACAGGTGAGAGACAGGTGAGAGACAGGTGAGACAGGTGAGAGACAGGTGAGAGACAGGTGAGAGACAGGTGAGACAGGTGAGACACAGGTGAGACAGGTGGGACACAGGTGAGACAAAAATCCCCATCAAAAACGGCCCAAAAAACCCAAAAAATCCAAAATAAAACGGGCTAAAAACCCCAAAAATCGAAACTGAAACAGCCCAGGTGTGCCCAGGTGTGCCCAGGTGGTGATGCACACCTGGAAGGAGTTGGGCTTGGTCCAGCCCTGACAGGTGAGACAGGTGAGACAGGTGAGGCAGGTGAGGCAAAAATCCCCATTGAAAACGGCCCAAAAATCCCCAAAAAATCCAAAATAAAACGGCCTAAAAACCCCAAAAATCGAAACTAAAACAGCCCAGGTGCACCCAGGTGTGCCCAGCCTGGACCAGGTGATGCACAGGTGGAACGCGTTGGGCTTGGTCCAGCCCTGACAGGTGAGACAGGTGAGACAGGTGAGACAGGTGAGGAAAAAGTCCCCATCGAAAACGGCCCAAAAATCCCCAAAAAACCCCAAAAAATCGAAACTAAAACAGCCCAGGTGTGCCCAGGTGCGCCTAGCCTGTAGGAGGTGATGCACACCTGGGGTTTGTCCAGCCCTGACAGGTGAGGCAGGTGAGACAGGTGAGGCAGGTGGGACACAGGTGAGGCAGGTGAGGCAGGTGAGGAAAAAATCCCCATCGAAAACGGCCCAAAAATCCCCAAAAAATCCAAAATAAAACGGCCCAAAAACCCAAAAAATCGGAATTAAATCAGCCCAGGTGTGCCCAGGTGATGCACACATGGAACGCGTTGGGCTTGGTCCAGCCCTGACAGGTGAGGCAGGTGACACAGGTGAGACACAGGTGAGGCAGGTGAGGCAAAAATCCCCATCAAAAACGGCCCAAAAATCCCCAAAAAATCGGAACTAAAACAGCCCAGGTGTGCCCAGGTGTGCCCAGCTGTATCCCAGGTCTATCCCAGGTCTATCCCAGGTGTGCCCAGGTGTATCCCAGCCATACCCAGGT